AAATGCACTCAAATTGTAGTACAAGGCCACTGACTGGGGAGCACAAGCGTTCCCCAACTGATTATTCAAAAAATACACAAGTATTAGTGACGCGATGAGCACCCTTTGTCAAGTATAAATATCATGAAATATAGAAATAGAAATAGTAGTCTCGAGTAGTCGCTACTCGCCCTGGAATACAATCAAGTCCACCTTCGATATATCAAAATTATAACATGGTGGTTTTCTTTGTCCTCAAGTCCTGTTCTGGGAATTGCGAGACAATGGCTTCGTGAAAAGTTTGGAATTTTGTCCCTAAAGCGCCGCAGTCGTGATAGAATTTTAACATATCGAACGTGGGCTATTCAAATCTGTATTCCTGCATTCATAATGAGCAGTAAATTTTCACGATGAATTCTCTGTATGTGCTAGATTGAAATATCTTTGAAGGGATAAAATTTCCGTGAACACATGTTTATCAAAATAAAGAAAACTGGTCTGTCAAAAATTGCATAACTCCCTCGTGTGTATTCATGCTGCTCCTTACGCATGCAGAAACACAGACCGGTCAATACATAAATGAAACTAAACTCCAGATTCAAAATTCCAGTTTGCCTAGTTCCGTTTCCAAGTGGCCAATGCGTGTTAGGTTACGTTGAAACTAAACTCCAGATTCAAAATTCCAGTTTGCCTAGTTCCGTTTCCATGTGGCCAATGCGTGTTACGTTACGTTGAAACTAAACTCAGATTCAAAATTCCAGTTTGCCTAGTTCCGTTTCCAAGTGGCCAATGCGTGTTAGGTTACGTTGAAACTAAACTCAGATTCAAAATTCCAGTTTGCCTTGTTCCGTTTCCATATGGCCAATGCGTGTTAGGTTACGTTGTCCGAACGAGTTTCCCCGCGTCTCGGATACATTGGCCGAGAAGGCCTGGGAAGGCACCGTACAGGGAATAGACAAGATTCTAGTGCACGAGACGTTTTTGAAGACGAAACTGATATTTGCATCGAGCGTGAACACGCAAGGAGTTTAGGGGAGATGGCGTGTAAGGGTCGTTACGGACGAAGGAGCTCTTGAGTGGAGCTTCTCGTGTACTCTACATCGATTTTTCTTCTTTATTTAATAATACTTCCACATAAAAAAAAATTAGACTCAATAATTATACAAAAGAATGCGTTCTCTCGTGTTGGCGCAATGAAATGGAACGAGATGCCAAATGGCTTAAGACAAAGGTTAATCATTAAATATTATGAAAACCAAAGACAACTATGTAGATAATGACAAAATCATAGTAACTTATATCTCTTCTCTCTATATTTATCTGGATGAAATTACTTAGTTATTTCATTTTTTTTTTGTTTTTTTGTTACTTTTCGTTTTTTGGGTTAATGGGGAACCATATTACTTAACATACGTTTTTCTCTGTTTTGCAAAACTGTTCGACATTGTTAATCTCTTTTTTTTGGAAATCTGTCATATTATGAGCTTGTGAGACTGACCTGCCTCGATTAGTTCAGCTACCTGGTGGTCAGTCGGATTAATTATAAACAGTTGTTATATATAATAAATAAACTTGAAACTTGATCTGTCCAAGGAAGGTAACTCCAAAGCAAGCCTGGGGAGTGCGTAGAAAATTTCTCCGTTTTATTTTCTTATACCGCTCTTTTACACATTCCACGATATTCAGTAACTCCCGAGAAAACCCATCATTTGTGCCTACCTGGTCTACAACTAAAACAAGGTAGTACCTTTTAAGCTAATGGCAGTTTCTTCAGTATCAAGAGAGAATCTCTTATTTATCAATTCTACTGCACACTCTGTTTAATTAATAATCGCAAATATGCTACATCTACACCTCCATCTACGACCATACTTGACACGTGTTGCCCATCACGCCCTAGAAAGATTTAAACCTCTTCCTATCCCAAGATGTCGTTGAAAAACAGAGGATTTGATTTGAAATGAAACGTGCCACGAAAACGACGTTCGCAGAGTTACCCATACTGACAGGCTCACAATTATTGACTAAATGACTGACTTTTGCAAAAGCAGTGGTTTTTTTTTTGCTGTTTTCTTATCTTTTTTCCTGGCCTATTCCAGGCGTTCAGATAGTAGGGCGCGGGCGCCAAAAAAATAAACGAGGAAAAATTAAAATTGAGCGTTTTTTCCCCTCTCTCCCCATCACCTGAACGCCTGGAACAGTCAACGTTTCGCTTATCAATAATTAGGGATCGCCCAGTACAAAGGAAATTCTGAATTCTGGATCGGGTTTTCTCTGGTGCCTTGAGACAGCAATCGCGCTTCTTGCACGGCCGTTTCTGCATTCCGCTTAATTCTGACGGTTTTTGCCAGGTCAAGGTCTTCTTGCTGGAGCAGTTTCTGCTTTAAGGTTTGGGAAGAGCACTTCTCGACAATTTGGTCCCGTATCATCTCCTCTTCCAAAGTACCAAAGTCGCAGGATTTTACCAGCTCTCGAAGGCTCGTCAGGTACGCGTTGAACGACTCGTCTGCCTTCTGTGCTCTCGACCTGAATCTGTAGCGTCCTGCTACCACGTTCCGTTTCGGGGCAAAGTACCCATTCAAGGAGGTCTTGGCTTCTTCGAGGCTCTTGTGTTCGCCAGGGAGCGTGTTGAAAATGCGTTGCACTTCGGGGCCGAGGCAATGCAGCATCGTGGCTCTCTGAACTGCATCGTCCTTTTTCTGTAGGTCAGATGCTATCGAGTAGATCTCAAACGCACTACTCCAGTGTTTCCACTCGCTGTACAGATCAGTCGCATCAATGTTGAATGCGGTGGGTGCGGGCAATGAGCGTTCCATTTCTCGTGGAACTTCGTCTTGTTCAACCTCGTCTGGCTCTGGGTCTGGCGGAGCAGTATTCTCTGCTTGTGCTGCCTGTTCTGGCTGCTCAGTTTCGTCGTCTGCGTGGTCTGCAGTTACAAGTTCATCCTCGTCGCCAATATGTGGTGTAGTCATGAGACAAGGAGATACTCACACTTTCATTGCTTTCTACGTAATGTCCTTTATTAACTAAACCACTATCTTTACAGTACAAATCATAATCTACTTTCACTTAGTATCAGTACTTTTACATTCGTGCTGTATTACTTTAATATCACTTAGTACATGTAGTTTCACTGATGCTGGTAATAGTACATAATCGTTACTATGGTAATCAATACACTACACACGTGCAGATAAACCGGGTTCGACTCCCGGCGACGCTGTTTTCTGTTTCTTTGTACCATTTTCTTTTTTTTTTCCTGTTTGGTGTCTTTTTTTTAACACTTTTTCCCCTTTTTGCGGTTTTTTTCTTTTTTCCTACTGCTTACCCTGCTGGTCATGCACTTGTATCAGTATATAATTTAAGTTTAAGTCCGGAGTTTTATTTTGGCAAAGGGATTTCAAAAGCTCTTGATCTGCATACTGGCCAAGCCTACGACCAGATAAAAACCAAGACATGTTCCTCCTCTTAAACAGTTGAATTTTTTTCAATGTTAGTTGACATCATGACAAATAACACACAGTACACCACTAACTGTACTAATTTACACGAACACCCACAAGTGACCCACTGGCGAAAGTTAAACTTGCCTTTTGTACATCGTCTTAAACATCAATATTATTACCCTAAAATCTCCACTGGGTTTGCCCCAAAAATATAATTAAACGAAACCGTTTATTGGCTTTCGGGATTTAATTACAGAATGACAGGTGTATGCCCAATACTGTATTAAAATGCGCCGGTAAAGCAGCGAGATTCAATGCTCACAGTCTCTCACAAATACCTGTCATTTAGCTTCCTCTTTCAACGCTATAACAAAGCGAACTTTGAGAGGAATGATATGGGTATGGGGTTCCACTGGCTCTGAGGAGCTGAAAATACGCACAATGTAAAGTATAATACATCCTTTCATGAACCTCCTATTGCTGTGTCTAAACTTCTCAATCTTGCTGTGCACTGGCCCTCAAAAGAGTGACGGGTCGGTATGATTGCCCGTAAAATTTGCTCAACAATAGAAAGGAATCTTTAAAATTCATTACACCACTGGACATTTCATTCCCAAAAAAGTACTTACGTCCAGTTTTCTATGACAATAGAATCTTAAAATCTCCAAATCCAAGAAATCGGAACAGTATATCCGTGATTAAATCGAAATTTTTATCCGTCTCTTCGATGAACACTTTGCTCGCCATTTTGGAAGTTATTGACGCGAGACGTGACTTCATACAGGCAGGCTGACTGTACCAAGGATTTCCTTGGCGACACCTCCCCCCCCCCCACCCCCTGGGCTGAATAAATTTGGTTGAATACTGATTTAACCTGAAATCGATTTGATCTACGGCATCATTGACACCACCCATGCACTTTATCATAACTGTTTGGGCTTCTTTTCATAAACTCTTGTCTCATGAAATGTTGAAAACTTCCCCCTCCGGTTAAGAATAGCTGTTTCCCTGAAACAAGAAGAGCCATTTCAACAATGGCTACGGCTCCTTTGTCTTTAATATTATAGAATTGCGGTTGTAAAAAGACCATATTGTCGAACAGTTCATTTAAATGCTTTAAGAGTAAAGAGGCTTTTCTACGTGCTTCTCTGGCCCATTTAGACCGCGAACCAAACGGTGAGAAATCTACAGCAACAAAAAGTTTATTGTAATTAGGATGACACACTCGAATGTTCTTAATCAGTGACGCCTGTTTCTTGATACAATTGACCAAAGTGGTAAAATTACCATTTGAACGTCTCAAAATGTGTTCCGTGCGAATGTGAAGGGAAATGTAGTTTGAACCTAGAGTCTTATTTATAAAGTCATCAACAATTTCCAAAAATTTCTCATTGAAAAATGCAACAGGTGCGGTAAAAGGGAATAATGGATATCTATTGGAAGTGGAAAGAACGCTCGATCTGGGAGCTCCTTGTTTCCTCTCTACTGTTCGATCCCAACACACTTACTTCCTTTGACGACTTTGTTGAGAAAAGATTCAACCAATCGACGCATTCCGGAATCCACGCGAACAGTTTAACTTTTCGATATATTGAAGCCACGTCTAGTTTGGAGACTTTGAATTTCCGTGGTTTGTTGTCGGTGGAAAGCTTCTTTACCATAACTAAATCGTATCAGTAAGTCCAACTTGTCTTGGCGAACACTCTGAAATTTTTCCCAGCTCACTAAAGTGCTGTATCCATGTGAACGAAGCGTGTTGTTAAATGCGCTCAGACTGTAGTACAATGCCAGTGTTTGAGTGTCATCACTGCTCATTTCATAACCAAAAAACTGTGAATCAATTACAAAAGGTACAACAACTTGGTGCCCACTGTAGCTTGCTAAAGCCGCAAGTGCGATCAGATTGTTAGTGGCCATTGAAAGTTGTTCCCAGTATCGAAATGCGATGTAAAATTTCATGTTCCTACTTTGTCTTGAGCTGTCGTCTTGTTGTACAAAATTACCTCCATTCAATACCTCATTAATTTTTCTTGCACAGTTAACTTGCCATGCTTTTTGAGGTGGCTTCCACAGATAAACTATGACATGTAAAAGGACTATGACAACTATCCCCATACACAAAGATTTAAACGCTCGCCGCGCGGAAAAATTCATCACCGGTTTCCGTCGTTTATGCGTATTTTACCACGTCAAAATACATATGTCTGTTTGCGCTCCTTGCAGTCATATCAGTAGTCATATCAAGCGTTTCCCAATTGATTATTTAAAAAATACATAAGTAGTAGTCTCGAGTAACCGCTATTTTAGTGGAATAAAATTCAATTCTCCATTCCTGCAATCATAATGAGCAGTAAATATTTCACGATAACTTCTCTGTATTCGCAAGATTGAAAGATTGGGATAAAATGGCTGTGAACACATGAACATCAATTTAAGAAAATTGTCAAAAATTTCATAACTTCCTCGAGAGTAAATTAACTGCTTATTACGCATGCAGAAACAGAGATCGGCCAATACAGACATGAATGAGAATTCTACAACTTCAAGAATAGCCTCCAACGCAGCCGTTTTTATGCGAAAATTCCAGTTTGCCTTGTCCGTAGGGATCATTAGTCCGCGCTGCCAATGCGTTTCGGGTCACGTGGTCCGAGCGAGTCTCTCCTATAGAGGATCTCTGAGGAAACAGAAATTTGTATCGGGCGTCAAAACGCAAGGAGGTTAAAATCAATTTGTGGTGAGCGTGGCTGTTTTTTTTTAAAGCGATTTTAGTGTATTTATCTGTAGTATGGTAGAATTGCGGATGACCGAGCGCAGAAATTCCATTCCAGCTTATGATTTCTCACTACCCAGATCTGAGTAGTGCTTCTGATAGGTTAAAGAAACTTTCCCTCGCGGCATGACTAATTAGAAGCACTACGCAGATCATCAGTATGGTGTTTCAACCTCGTTCTCAGGTTCTCTCTCATGGTATTTCTGAGCGTGTGTCTCAGACGTCATTTCGCTGGGAACCAAGTGGTGGCGTCGCGAAATGTCGGCAATTTTTTCAGTCTACTATAAACCCGAACTGCTCTTGTCATATTTTTTTTATCAAAACAAACCTTCGTGGATGCCAGCTTAATACACTTTTCACTGATAAAAAGCTTGTTTGATTAACCCACGAACGTACACGCAAACTCATAGCCCCACCGTAGTACAAGGGGGGGGGGGATGACCCCTCCCCGGAGTTTTTGATATGTTATAGTATCTCGCAACGATTTTATCTTGAGTGGAAATTCTTAAGATGAGGTATATTAGTATTCGATCCAAACTTATTTGCTTATCTTCAAGTTAATTAGGAAGAAAAAAGATTAATAAATTGTTGTCAAGGAAAGATTATGTGGGTGGCTGTTGTTAATGTAAATTAACAATTAAGAGGTATTTATGCTTAGATTTTACAAATTCAGTGGAAGCTTTCATCAGAGGGCAATAACCATAAGACCTTTTGGGTGATTTTTGCAGGCATGGTACTTAATTGCCATCTAGCCTGCGTGGCAGGCGTTTAAAGGGGAAGGGGGAATTTGGGCGCGCGAGAGCGCGCGAGGGTGAAAGGAAAGGAACCCCTCCTCCCTCCTCCTTCGCGCGCGGTCTTGCGCCCTCGATTCCCTTCCCCTTCCCTTTCTAACGCCTGCCACGCAGACTATTGCCATCCGTTGCAACAGCCGACAAGACAGTTTCGCCGCCTGAATATAGTCTTAAATAACCGAAACTGGACCTCTATCTTTAAAACTCAATTGATGCAAAGACTCATTTCATCGGTTTTTTTTAAAGATGGCCAATATCTGAATAGAATGACATAGGCCTTCTAGGTTTCGTACTGCACATTCATATCACTACAAGGATCTGAACTAAAAGAAAATTGAAAATGATACTAAACTGATAGAGCGGTTTTCATTTGAGTGTCGAAAAGTAATTGGTTTTGCACTTTCTACACGATGCGATTGGCTTAAAAGATTCGCGCCACCTTTTCATCCAATCAGAAGTAAAACCAAAGCCAATTGTGACGTACTCGCATGCATTTTCCCGCGCTTTGCGTCAGCCACATGTAATTACTTCGAGTTTTGATTGGTTCAATGTCTTGTCTGTGTCCTATGTGATTGGCCAGAGTAATTACTGTGGTTTTGGTTTTACGACACTCAAACGAAAACCACTCTAGTAGTAATTAGAGTAATACAGACACCAATAAAAGTCAGTGAAACGTGTGGTCAGTGTGTTCTACTATTTATTTACGTTAAGTTAAAATTGAAAGGTTTTTATACACGTGTATTTCAAATTGGTTACAGACCGTCTCAGTTCTAACCTGTTACGCCTCAACATGATGAAACGTTGCGTTAATTCACAAAACTGGAAAATCTAATTCCGATCAACTAACCCCGAGGTATGCTCCGATATACGCCTGCTAACGACAAATAGGGTTTACCCAAGTTAATAAAAATGATATTGTAGTAGCTCAGTGTTTTTGGTTCTTATAGAAAATGAAGATTCTTCCTTTAAAAATTGGTTCCAGTTTCGTGAGTCAACTTTGTCATGTATGACGGTATGGGAAATGCTAACATTGATTTACAAATGATTCGAAAAGCAATGCCAAAAAAACTAAGCATAAACCCTGGTCAGTATCATTACTCCAACTTGATTGGCATGATAATGAACACAAAACTGATAATTAAGAAATGCTTTCTATTCCTGAAACTCGGAACCGGAGACGTTTTGAGCGCCGTGAACTGAGATCTAGCCAATATATTTTTTTTTGTGCGAACATTTCAATTCTTTACGCATCTATTACCTATTAAGTCGTCTTATTGCAAATGAAAAACTGGAAAAAAATAGATGACATCAAAGATTCTTAAAACTGACCACTTACAAGTCGCAAAAGATCTTCGCTGGTATAAACAGCTAGGGGGATCACATTTACTATCGCCACTAATATATGTCTTTTCCATCGTCTTCGCAAAACAGCCATGACCGCCAAATTCTGATAACGAGTCTCGATTGCTAAAGAAACACTAGTGAAAAACCATTCAATCACTAGCTGAACTGAAGTGCACTTGGCAAATAACTGTAGTACCTCGAAAAGGGAATTATCTTGCAGGCAAAGAAACTTGTGTAAGTAAATAAACCCGTTCACAGACACTATAGCAGTCGATTCAGACAACATACTCATGATAGCAATATCAGCCATGAGTCTCTCACGGCGAGGGGTACGGAAACTTCCCCAAGGAGCTGATTTTCTTTTCCACAACATATGACAAATGTGATCTATGAAAACCATCGTACTTCGTTCTATAACTTCTGCAGCGCCGTGAATGATTCCCAAAATAGCCATGTATTCTAGAGTGTCCAGATCGGCTTGCAAAGCTCGGAAGATGACAGCTGATCCGTAAAACAAAGGCCCAAGTAAAACATAAGAATATCCCGGATGGGAAATATTGTATAACCTCTGAACACAAACTCGTGCGATTACCTTCAAGATGGGGACGATGAGAGGCAAAAAGAGTGCAATAAAGAGTTTGTCTTGGTTGTTATTCTTCGGGTCAGCATATGCTGGATATATAAAGTACTGACCAATCTGTCCAATGAAGAACGTAAGAAAGACGGGTACAATCATTTGAAAGAACAAGGTCAGTTTGCTTTTGGTCCTTGAACGTGGGCAGAAATGATTGGCCACCACGTACATTTCCAAGCAGATGCCAATGATAAAGATGGCGTTGAGGGGAAACCAGGTTAAGAAGCTGGAAATACTCACATGAGATAAAGTTAAAGCTCTGCAAGCAACGCGATAAAGTGAATCTAAACAGTAGCAAAGAAAAGAAACTAGAAATAGTTTCCTTTTGATCCCAATTAACTGAAATGGACGGAAAAGTAAAAGAAGAAAAGTAAAGGGCCAGATATAAAAGAAACCACAGCCAATCACACCAGAAATTGTTATTTTCCATTGCATTTGAACTGAGGTTGAGTTATGTGAATGATGGCAGCTCAAATATAAACTCTTAAATCGCGCGTAACAGATTAGCGTGTATAGTGTACCCATTACTGTAGCAGCAAGAACCGAGATCAAAGCTCCAATACACATTGATTTGCCAACGGTACAGAGAGCGGATGGCCTTAGACGTTTCCAAGCCATTGCCCTATCATCTTCTTGATGTTCATCAGTTACTTCATCTGGTAAGCATGCATTAATAACTTTAATATCAAGACCACTCGACCCGAGACAATCCCATGTGGTAGCTTCTCTGTCACTGTATTCTTGGTAAATAAGCTCATCGACTGGTTGGTAATACCATTCTCGACCAGTGCTTTCTAGAGGACTGTAGCCAAAAGCTTCTGCTGTGAATTCAGGTTCCGCTGGATTGTAATGTTCTGTTACACCTCGTGTAAAACTGAACAAGATTTGACCAACTACCTCTGCCAGTACAACCATTTTATACGAGTGAACGTCAAACGTCGTCTTATTTTGTTGTGATCTGCGATTGTAAAGCTCCACCCGGCTTTATTTATTCGCATGGCCATCTGACGTGTTGCTTTCTTGCTGCTGTTGGGGCGTTGTATTTTTAGTACCATTTCTGTTTATTTGTTGAAGCACGCATTTTTTCACTTTACTTATTTGTGCCCATCTGTTCATTTTTATTTAAATTGCCATTGGATGAAGCCTATAAAGAACTATGAAAAGGGATTACACCAATCATAAGGCAAACTTAAAAGCGGCCTCAAGGGGTGAGTATTTGAGTTTTGTAAAAAAAATTATGAATGGGAAAGAATCATGTGGTGTCTACGCTGTAGGCTATGCTGTATAAAAATTGCCATAAGCTCACATCCTGATAAGATGAAAGGTAACATTTCCTTTCCATCTGGGGATCGGACTATCCGGTTTCAATTTTACACATATCGGGTGGTGTAAAGAGTTTAGAAAAGCTTCTTTTCTCAAA